TGCTAGGAGGGATTGGGGGCAGGAGGAGAAGGGAACGACAGAGGATGAGATGGCTGGATGGCATCACCGACTCAATGGACATGAGTTTGAGTAAACTCCAGGAGTTGGTGATGGACAGGGAGGCCTGGTGTGCTGTGATTCATGGGGTTGCAAAGAGTCGGACACGACTGAGCGACTGAACTGAACTGAACTGACTGAGCATCTCAGTACGGGACCATCGGGAACTACTCCTGGGGATGACCCTGGTGGTCCAATGGTTAAGATCCTGCGTTTCTAATGCAGAGAGAGTGGGTTTGATCCCTGGTTGGGGAACAAGGATCCCAGATACCATGCAGCATGGTGAAAAATTTAAAAATAAAGAAAAGAATTAGTCCTTCCCATGCACACATGTACACACACACTTTTCCCCAAGTGGGATCAGACAGCACCTACTGTTATGTAACTTACTTTGCTGAGCTTCCACAGAGCAGAGTCAAGCACATGGTAAGTCCCATATGTCAGCTGTCTTCACCGTTAGTGTTGAAAAGCTGGAGAGGCTACACTTCTCTCCTTATTTTGGTCAACCCTTTTTCATCCTTTGTGACATGCCTGTGCGTGTCCTTTGACCATTCTTCTCTTGGTGTTTCCATTTTCTTCTTGTTGATTTTCAACAGTTCTTTATATATGAAGGTTATCCCTCTCTGTGAGTTGGGTACTCAGAGCGACTCCCAAGCTCCCTGGGGAGGAGGGGGCAGGGACAGACCCTGCTAGGCTCTGAGCACTGGGTGCTTGGCCCCAGGCTCACCGCCTGCTAAGAAGCCTGGAGTTGGGTGGCAGGAAGTGGCTGGACTGGCAGGGTAGTGAGAGGCAGGGAAAAAAAGAGAAGGTTCAGAGCTGAAAGGAGAGGCTCTGAGTGACAGAGCCTTAATGGGAGGCAGATGGAGGAAACAGAGTTGCCCTTGCTGATGGGAAGGAGGTCACGGGTCATGGAGCTTTCTAAAGATAGGAATCTGGGAGACGGGCAGGCGGCAGGGCCACTCCATGGTGTGGTGCTCAGGGGCTGGAACAGAGCAGGGGTTAGCCCCGCCCTTCTGCATGTCCAGACCCTCTCAGGCCCAGAAGCAGAGGAGCGGCAGGCACCTGAGCCCTGGAGGCCAGGTATATGGAAGAGACCCCCAAACGTGGGTTAACGACACAGCCCAGCTGAGCGACACTGGGCGAGCACTCAAACCTCTCTGAGCCTCAGTTTCCTTGTTGAAAGGGTGTAATACCAACACCGACTTATTGCTGTTCGGTCTCTAAGTCACGTCTGACTCTTCACGACCCCATGGGCTGCAGCACGCCAGGCTTCCCTGTCCTTCACTGTCTCCCAGCGTTTGCTCAGATTCATGTCCATTGAGTCAATGATGCCATCCAACCATCTCATCCTCTGCCACCCCCTTTAGGAGGGTATATTAAGATTAGCATGTCAAACATTACTATAGAACAGGTTCAGTAAATAAAAGTTAACTTGCGATTGTTACTGTTCTAATCACTAGACAATTATTCTTTTCTTGCTGGTAGAGCCCATTGGCGACATCAAGGATCTCTTCATTGGCTCCAGCTCTGTCAGAGCTGAAGGCCTTTGGGTTACAGGTGGGGAAACTGAGGCCCAGCGTCCAGAAGGGTCATGCCTGGAGTCATCCACTGGAGTGGCTGTGTATCCTCCAAGAAGATATTTTAAATCCTAATCCTGAGGAACCTATGACTGGTCTTATTTGGAAATAAGGGTTTTGCAAATGTAGAGTGAATTCATACTGGATTAGGGTGGGCCCTCAATCCAGTGACAGGTGCCATTTAGAAAGGACAGGGAGATCTGGACACAGACACAGATGTAGGAAAGAAGGCCACGTGAAGACAGAGGTAGGCAGAGATCAGTTCAGTTCAGTCGCTCGGTCGTGTCCAACTCTTTGCAATCCCATGGATGGCAGCACGCCAGGCTTCCCTGTCCATCACCAACTCCCGGAATTTGCTCAAACTCATGTCCATTGAGTCAGTGATGCCATCCAACCATCTCATCCCTTCTTCTCCTGTCTTCAATCTTTTCGAGCATCAGGGTATTTTCAAATGAGTCAGCTCTTCACATCAGATGGCCAGAGTATTGGAGTTTCAGCTTCAGCATCAGTCCTTCCAATGAATATTCAGGACTGATTTCCTTTAGGATGGACTGGTTGGATCTCCTTGCTGTCTAAGGGACTCTCAAGAGTCTTCTGCAACACCACAGTTCAAAAGCATCAATTCTTCTGCATTCAGCTTTCTTTATAGTCCAACTCTCACATCCATACATGACTACTGGAAAAGGCATAGCCTTGACTAGACGGACCTTTGTTGGCAGCGTAATGTCTCTGCTTTTTAATATGCTGTCTAGGTTGGTCATAACTTTTCTTCCAAGGAGTAAGTGTCTTTTAATTTCATGGCTGCAGTCACCATCTGCAGTGATTCTGGAGTCCAAAAAAATAGTCTGTCACTGTTTCCATTGTTTTACCATCTATTTGCCATGAAGTGATTAGACCAGATGCCATGATCTTAGTTTTCTGAATGTTGAGCTTTAAGCCAACTTTTTCACTCTCCTCTTTCACTTTCATCAAGAGGCTCTTTAGTTCTTCTTCACTTTCTGCCATAAGGGTGGTGTTATCTGCATATCTGAGGTTATTGATATTTCTCCCGGCAATCTTGATTCCAGCTTGTGCTTCTTCCAGCCCAGCGTTTCTCATGATGTACTCTGCATATAAGTTAAATAAGCAGGGTGACAATGTACAGCCTTGATGTACTCCTTTCCCAATTTAGAACCAGTCTATTGTTCCATGTCCAGGCAGAGATCAGGTGATACCAACGCAAGCCAAGCCATGCCCAGAGATGCTAAAAACCTTCTCTATTGTCTTCAGAGGGAGCATGGCCCTGCTAACACTTTGAGGTCAGAGTTCTGGCTCCCAGGACTGGGAGAGAACAGATTTCTGTTGTTTTAACCCCCCTGGTTCCTGGTGCTTTGTTCTCACAGTCTCAGGGAATGAACGAAGCCAGGGTAGTGGCTGGCCTCGGACCAGGCTGTGTCCACCCCTCCCAGTTCTGCCCTGGACCCCATAGAATGGTCTAGAAGATGGGCCTCCTGCGGTTACTGACCACGTGCTCTAGCCTTCTCCAGGTCCCTTAGGCCCCTCACCTGTGCCATGGAGCAAGTGACTCGGGATCAAACAGGGCTATGAAACCCAGGGGTCACCTGGGGGCGCCTGTGCTATTCAGGGCCAGGGGATCAATTGAGGGGTGGGGTGTGAATCCTTTCCCAGACCCCCAGGGGAACTCCTGCGGAGACTGAGGTGCACCGGAGCAAGGGCCCCATCCAGAGGGGCCTTGTTGCCAGATAGGAATTTGGGCTCAGGTGTCCCATCTTCCGATTTTACAAGACAAGCTGGAAATCTCCACTTCTTTGTGAACAAAATAAACTTCCCAGTTTCACTTAAGGAGAAGATACTTCTCCCTGGAGTGAGAAACAAGGCAGATGTGTGCTGGGACTGAGGGACTGTATGGTCTGGAGCCCCTTCCGGCAAGCCTTCTGTGTATGTGTGTGTGTGTGTGTGTGTGTGTGTTAGTCGCTCAGTCATGTCTGACTCTGCGACCCCATGGACTATATTTGGCCAGGCTCCTCTGTCCATGGAATTCTCCAGGAAAGAATACCAGAGTGGATTGCCATTTCCTCCTCCAGGGAATCTTCCTGCAAAGGGATGGAACCTGGGTCTCACGGACCACTGGGTCTCCCTGCTGATCCCCACTCCCCACTTTTCTCGCTCCTTTAGGCAATGCGGGGAGGGGGCCAAAATGATGTTTTCTGAGACCTGATGGGGATTTTAAAGTCTTGTCCCTTGATCTGCATAACAACCTTGTAACGTTGTGGACGTTGGAATGCGAGGCCCAGGGCCAGACGCTACTCCCTAGAAAAGCGGCCCCAGCCTTGGGCTCCTTCCTGTTAGACTCAACTGACAGTAACAGAGGTCTTGACCCAAGATCTTGTGTGGGTTTGATTATCCCCATTACACAGATGAAGAAAGTAAAGTTCATTGAGTCCATCAAGGCAGAAAGTGGAAGAAGCCCTAGTAAGCTGCAGGGCTAAGGAATCGTCCCCATCGCCCGTCGGGGTGGGTGTGGTCCAGTCAGCGTGGGAAGAAAGCGAAAGCCAGGCCCAGCTGTGGTCCGAGCCCAAATCCGACCTAAATCGGGGGCACCGGGGGCTCAGCCTTCCTGGGAGCTGGGCAAGGATCCGGCCGGTGTGTGCTCGCTCAATGGGCGGAGCTCGGACGGCGCCCAGCGGCCGCGGGCGGGATAGCAAAGCGGAGCCAGGCCGGGCCGGGAACGGGGCTTGCGGGCCTAGGGCTGGGATCTGGCTTGGCTGCGGGTCCGCACCCTCCAATCCCGTGGGGCGGCCCAGCCAAGACACCCCCCGCGTGCGCGCCCAATCGCACCGCGATCCTCCGAACCCGCAGAGGGCGCTATCGCCGCCCCCGCGCTCCCTTCCCCGGGCCGGAGCAGGCCGGAAGCGCGCGGGTGACTTCCGGCGCTTAGTCCCGGGTTGGGCGGTGCACCGGGCCGGGCGCGGGGCTGGAGACTGGACCCGGCGAGTGGCCGAACCTGGTTACGACCGCGGGCCGTGCGACGCACCCCAGTCGGCGTCTCGGCCTCGGTGGAAGGTGCGGCCGCCGCTATGCCATTCCTGCATGGCTTCCGGAGGATTATCTTCGAGTACCAGCCGCTCGTGGATGCTATCCTGGACTCCTTGGGCATCCAGGACCCCGAGCGGCAGGAGCCCTTGGACGGGTAACTGGCGCTCTTCCCCGCCTCAGACCGGCGCGGCACCCCTTTCCTTGTCCCCACAAACATGGCGGGCGGTGTCCTCATCTGTCAGATGAGACCGAGGGCGGGCGGGAATGGGTGGAGGCGGCCGCAGCCCGCTCAGGGAGGGCCGTGGGGCGGGGTGGCGGCAGGGCCTCCACCTCAGCGCGCCGCCCTGCGCCCCCCCGCCTGTCCTGTGCTCTCTACCTGGAGTTGCAGAAGAGCAGGGTGGAGTCGCTAAACGCGGCGCGGGATGAGCTTTCTGTAGCCCCGTGTTTCCCGTTTGGTATAGACAGGCGCGGGTCTGTCATACGTGAACCTGTGGGAAGGCTGTTCAGAAAGCGCATCGTTTAGAGACTACATCGGCGAGCTAAAACCCTCAATCTTCGTGGTGATCGTGCTCCCAGAGAGGAGAGGCTGACAGTGGTTAAAGTGGTATATACTGCCTTACGTGGAGCGGAGAAAAGAGCCGAGAGGGGGATGGGGGTGTGTTTCGGGCATCAGTTGGAATTGGCGAGGTGGATAAGCGGGTTCGGGCTGTGGTGCAAAGGGCTTTCTGGGTCCCTCTGCCTTCGGTGGACCGAACGTCTCTGAGTGTGATCGGGCTTCGGGAGATCTGCTGACAGCTGTGGCTGCGGGGTGGCCTGAGCTGGGGTGCAGCACCTTCAGCCCCGGGTCAGTCGGTGTCTGGTTCTTGCCCTTGGCCACAAGGGTTCCCTTCAGTGCCGACAGCGCAGGTGTATGAGGCTTTGTACCCAAGCCAGGGGCCAGGTTGTATGGGTGACTTGGAAGGAGGTTGATGACAGCCCCAATCCTTTCTTAGCAAACCTGAGGAGTCTGCTCCATTGAAGAGATCCAGCTTGGTCCTCTTTCTCCCACCAACCTTTTCGAAAGAGACTTTCTGCCCCATGGAGCCAGGGCCCTGCCTGGGGTGGGGGGGTTGGGGGTGGGGCAAAGTGGGGGTGACTGCGGGAAACCAAAGGCCACCTACCCTACAGGGTGCCCAGCCAGCAGGTCCCACCCTCAGCTGGTCCTCTCTCCTGCCCCAGGCCCAGTTATGCCGCCAGTGAGGAGAGCCGCATCCTTGTTCTCACCGAGCTGCTTGAGAGAAAAGCCCATTCTCCATTTTACCAGGAAGGCGTGAGCAACGCCCTGCTGAAGATGGCCGAGCTGGGGCTGGCACGCGCGGCCGCCGTGCTCCTGCGGAATGGAGCCAACCTCAACTTTGAAGGTCCGCCGGAGCCTGGAAGGCTGGGGAGGATGGATGGCTTAAGTGTGGCCCTGCTGGGGGTGGGCGGTCCAGCCTTCAGACCCTGCTTTTGGAAGGTGCTGCCCTCATCTGTGCTATGGGTGATGACTAAGGAAGCCCACACTGGGTGGCCTCCCATCCCCTTGCAGGTTTCCCAGTGGCTCTTAAGCACCTCTGATTAGGAGCAAGTTTGTCACTGCTTCTATCAGGTGATTGACTTAGCAAACTTTCCCCCAGCTCCCAGCTAAATCCTTGCTTCAAAATGGGGCTGCTGGTGCTGTGCCCAGAGCTAAGAGAAAGTAATTTTCTGCCACTGGTTCTGAGCCATGTTGCATGCTGGTTCCTGCCATGGGGAGAGGGGGAAACAGATAAGACACATTGGGCATAAATCATGGCCAGCCAGTGTTGGCATCTCACTGGTGTGCCCAGGAGTGCTGATGGAGCCATCTTCCTTCCCTCTTTGTTTCGCCCTGGGTGGGGGCTAGGGGGGCAGGCAAGGTCAGCCAGGAGATACTCCAGACTGACTTGTTCCCAGTGGGGGTTTTTGTGCTGATACAGGACGTGCCGGGCATGTCTCTCCTCCCCTTTGGAGGACAGGCTCAGAGGCTGCTGGGCTCCTGGGAGGTCAAGGAGCTGGGGGAGGCGCCTGAGGCATTCTGCAGTCAGTCACTTGGGAGACCCAGCTTTGAGCATTTGTGGGTATTCCTCCGCACAGCCTTGTTTTAGGTCCTATTTCATAAAAGGGACTAAAACCCAGGTTAAGTACCTTGTCCGTTCATTGGAACGCCTCCCCAGGACCCGAACCTAGGCCTGACTGAGTACCCTAGTGTCCGACGAGGACAGCTGTGTCCTGACCCCTCGCGGTGCCGGGAGCCCTTGGGTCAGAGCGTTGGGGCCGGGCTGCCAGGCTGGTCCTGGGATCCCGTGAGAATGTGCCGACAGGCAGGGCTGATGTGAGCTGTGTCTGCACCTTCAGACCCGGTCACCTACTACACGGCGCTGCACATCGCCGTCCTACGGAACCAGCCGGACATGGTGGAGCTGCTGGTGCGCCACGGGGCCGACGTCAACCGCAGGGACCGGGTGAGGGCCAGCCCTGCTCTACAGGAGGGGAGTGGTCGGGGCCCCAAGCCGCTCACAGGCCCCGGGGCCAACCTGGCTGTGCTTTCTCGGCTCAGATCCATGAGAGCAGCCCCCTGGACCTGGCCAGCGAGGAGCCAGAGCGCCTGCCCTGCCTGCAACGCCTCCTGGACCTCGGAGCAGATGTCAATGCGGCTGACAAGCATGGTGGGTGCCCGCGGAGAAAAGCAGGCCAGGCCGAGCCAGACCGCCTCGTGAGGTGACCCCGAGCCTGCTGGGTGATGGCTCGGCAGGTGGACTGGAGGCAACCCGTCTGATGACATAGCACGGCTGGGTGTGCACTGGTGTCTTCTGCTGACTCACAGAGGCGCGGGAGGCGGTGCATCTTGGCCCCACGAGGGCGTCTGCAGGAGCTGGACCTGTGTGCTCAGCTTCTGAGTGACGGGGCTTCCTTCCACCCAGGCTGGGTCTCAGGTAGCATCTCAGGGTCCAGAAAAATCCTACTTCTCCTGGCCCTTCTGGTCCTGTGTTTGTGTCAGTGGAGAGAAAACGGCCAGAAACCTGTCACCCTCAGCTGTAGCTGGGAGGTCAGTTTGGTGTTTTGTTTTGTTTTTTTTTAATAATTTATTTTTGGCTGTGCTGGGTCTTCGTTGGTATGTGGACATTTATCTAGGTGTGGTGAATGGGGGCTGCTTTCTGGTTGTGGTGTGCAGGCTTTCCATTTCGGAGGCTTCTTTTGTGGAACACGGGTCCCGGGGCGTGTGGACTCTGTAGCTGCGGCTCCCAGGCCCTGCAGCACGGGCTTAGCTGCTCCGCTGATGTGGGATCTTCCAGACCCGGGATCAGACCCGTGTCTCCTGCACTGGCAGGTGGATTCTTTACCACTGGCCACCAGGGAAGCCCGAGATCAGTCTTGGTTTTTTTAAGGTTTATTTGGCTGCTCTGGGTCTTGGTTGTAGCATATGGGATCTAATTCCCCGACCCGGGATCAAACCCAGACCCCCAGCATTGGGTGCGCAGCGTCCTAGCCACTAGACCACAGGGAAATCCCCAAGATTAGTTGTTTCTAACCTTCATTCTCTGGTCCTGAGGGCCTGTGTTTCCTCTCCCACCCCTGGGCTGGCCTGGCCTGACCTTGGCTTCCCCACCTCCCACTTCCTGCCTCACTGGCTCTCCCTCCCTAGGTAAGACAGCCCTGCTCCATGCTCTGGCCAGCAGTGACGGGGTGCAGGTCCACAACACCGAGAACATCCGGCTCCTGCTGGAAGGAGGTGAGCCCCAGCCTTCCACACGGCCCCCCGGACTGTGAGGCGTGGCTCCGCCGGGGCTGAAGGCCTCCTCCCACCTTCTTTCCCCCTCCTGGCTCTCCTAGGGGCGGACGTCAAGGCCACTACCAAAGACGGGGACACAGTGTTCACCTGCATCATCTTCCTGCTGGGCGAGACAGTGGGAGGCGACAAAGAGGAGGCCCAGCTGATCAACCGCTTCTGCTTCCAAGTCACGCAGCTGCTGCTGGCCCACGGTGCCGACCCCAGCGAGTGCCCGGCCCACGAGTCCCTCATGCACATCTGCCTCAAGAGCTTCAAGCTGCACTTCCCCCTGCTGCGCTTCCTGCTGGAGTCAGGAGCCGCCTACAACTGCTCCCTACACGGCGCGTCCTGCTGGTCTGGCTTCCACATCATCTTTGAGAGGCTCTGCTCCCACCCGGGCTGTGCGGAGGATGAGAGCCACGCGGACCTTCTGCGCAAGGCGGAGACCGTGCTGGATCTCATGGTGACCAACTCCCAGAAGCTCCAGCTGCCTGAAAACTTTGACATCCACCCTGTGGGCAGCCTGGCGGACAAGATCCAGGCCCTGCACTTCTCCCTGAGGCAGCTGGAGAGCTACCCCCCGCCCCTAAAGCACCTATGCCGCGTGTACATCCGCCTCTACCTTCAGCCGTGGCCCGTGGATGCCAAGGTCAAGGCCCTACCTCTGCCCGACAGGCTCAAGTGGTACCTCCTCAGCGAGCACAGTGGCGCCGTCGAGGACGACATCTGACCGTCTGGGCTAGGGGGCGGGGTCTGGGCAGCCCCATCGGCATGTGGGTGATTCAAGTACCTGGGCGGCCCGAGGGGACAGCCTTCCGTCCGCCTGTCAGAGGTGCAGGGTGGAGCCCGGCGGCGGCAAGCGCTCCAGCGGAGGAAGGCCTCTCTGGAGGGAGACTGCCCCCGCTTCCCCTGGCAGCGACTCTGAGCCTCGGCCCACAGTGGAAGTGGGGACAGGGTTTAGGACAAGCACGGACCCTCCTGATGGGAGGGAGTGCCGGGCGCTCTGAGAAGCAAGGGGGCTCCACGCCCCGGCCCTCCACAGGAAGCCGGCCCAGCCTGCGTGGAGACGCCAGGAGGGGCCTGTGGGGTGCAGCCCGGCCAAGACCATTGACTCTTCACCCAAGATTCTGTGAAAAAAAATAAGCGCTTCGGGGCAGGCAGGGAGAGCTGAGCTAACTCCAGCCAGCTTCTATAGCTCTGGGGCCAAGCCACCCACCACCCTGCCCAGCAAGGGCCAGGGCCCTGCTCGGGTGGCAGCTGTTTGTGCCAAACCTGTGGTTTGGGGACCACGCCTTCTAACAAGCAATTATGCATGACTGTGCGCTGTCTTTCTGAAATGTCTCACATCGTGAGGGTTCATCTGATGGGAAAAGCTACCAAGGGTGAAAGCCAACCTCCGCCCTGTGTTGAGCCCTCAGCAGGCCGCCTGTGGGTCACACGAGGTGGTCATTGTGAATTGTGTAACTGCCTTGGAGATAAGCCGAGGCGACTAAAAGGATATATTTATAAACTTAAAACTGATTTCTCTTGGCCTTAAAGGTCCTTGTGTAACAGTTACACACACACACCCACCACCTTCCGAGTTCAGGGTGAAGGATCCCACGGCAGCTGGGAGGCAGGGGTGGCAGGCACACGACACAGCTGTCCCAGTAAAGACGAGCACCATCCAGACGGGTGAGACCCTTCCGGTAGAGGCTTCGCCCCTTTATTTTTGACTGGAAACGCCCCCCCCCCCCCCCCCGAGGAGGAGCCACCAGGCACAGCCAGGGCCGATGCTCCGGCCTCCCCCTTGACACAGGCCGTGGTGACCATCATGTTAGGGCGCCAGGGCCGATCGCCACCAGCACCAGAAATGTGGACATCCCCCATCTCCCAGCAGCACCAGGAACGTGGACTTGCCCCAGCCCCATGATTCAGCAGGTGCCGCGTGGGCTTTGGCAGCCAGGAGGTCCAGAGCTGCAGGCCCCACAGGCAAAGCTCCCCTCCTACCCCGAGGCCCAGTCCTCAGCAGCTGCATTAAGGGTCACTGTCTTCCTCTTGAGGCAGCCAGGCCTGTGGCTGGAAGGCCAGCTGGTGTCCTGGAGGTGAGGGACTCACTCTCGCTTCTGATGGGAGCACAGGGGCCCAGGGGTCGGCGGGCCTGCAGGGCCCAGTCCCCACCTCCAGCCTCACTGCCCCATCCAGCAGCACCCCTCCGGATCGAGTTCCCTTACGCCTCTCTGAAAAAGAGCCTGTTTGGCAGTGGACGGCAGACAGGTGTATTTAGTGGCCCTGCTCAACACTCCCGAACCATCGACGTGGCGCTTCTGGGCCTTGCCCGGCTGCCAATCCCCCGGCCCCACACTGGTCCCTCGTTCCGCCGGCCCGCTCATCTCAGGGCGAGGCTGTAGACGTGGTAGATCTCATCCGGGAGGTTCTCCTGCCGCTCCTGGGCCAGGAGGCTGAGGCCTGCGCTGCGGACGATCCTGTGCACCACGTCCAGGTCGCGGCACACGCTGCTGTCCACGTCGTCCAGGATGACGCCCTCCTGGGCCATGTTGTCCTTGATGACGATGATGCCGTTGGGACGCAGGCCCCGCTTGCAGCGCCGCAGGAACTCGGCCAGGTGCTGATCGGTCAGGTGGCCTGGGGGAGGCAGAGGCCGTCACTGGGGAGAGCCGGGCCCGCCAGGCCCCCCATGGCCTTCGGTGCCGCTACTGACTTCCTGAGCGCTGACTGTGCTGAACACACAGGACGCGCTGGCTCTCAACAGCCCAGAGGGGTTCACCAAACCCCACTTTGAGCGGAAATGGGCTCAGAAGTCACCTGCCCCACACCTGCCCTCCACCTAACCCTCCTAGCCTGAGCCAGGGGCGTGCACCCAGCCAAGCTCCTCACCTACATTACAACCCCGAACAGAACTCAGGGCTGGACCCTGTGGGCTCCCGGCAGGCCAGGGCCGCCCAGCCTACAGTGGGGAGGCCTGCTGCCAGATGGGCAGCCCGAGAAGAGCACCCTGAGTGTGCCGTCAGGCTAAGCGGGAGCCGGACAGGACGGCAGGGCTCGCTCCCCACAAACAGCACGGGGGGTGCGAGGCTTCCACTTTTCCTAAAAACGCCTTCCTTAACAAAACTAATTTCCACATTCTTTGAATGCAGTTGAAACTTGAAAATTAAAAATTTTTTTCAACAAAAAAACTGCCCCCAAATGGGTCGCAGCAGATACGGAGTTGAAACAAAATGTGGAAACAAATGAACCTTCGAGGTGGAGCCCTGGGGAGGGAGGATTTGAGAAGCCCCCACTGGCCCCCCACCTGCAGGAGCAGAGACGGGCAGGAAGGCGCAGAGAGGCGCAGGAGGCTCACCTATCACCCACTGGATCCAGATCACATCGTACGACTGTGGCTCGGGGCTGAAGTCCTGGAGGCCACAGCAAAAGAAGTTCCTCACTCGCTTGCCCTCCTCGCCCAGGTAGGTCTTGGCCTTGACCAGGAAGTCCTCCGTCACGTCCACCATGTCCACCACTCCGAAGAGAGGCAAGAGCAGCCGCTTGGTGATCCTCCCAATGCCAGCTCCGCAGTCCAGGGCGTATGAGGTCCCGGTCTTGTTTGGGCCTTCCTGAAGCAGCAGAGCAGACAGACTGAAGAGAAGGGTTAGGAAACCAGAGGGACCCTGTCTCTGCAAAGGGGCCTTTCCCTGAGAGCCCCTGGAACTACTCAGATCAGCACAGGCTGGCGGCTGGTGTGAGCACAGCACAGCCTTTCTCTGGGCCACGTGTTCCTGAAATGACAGCCAACCTCCGCTTAAAGGTGTTAACCCGAATAGATACGCTCGTCTGCTCTGTCTCCCGAGACTCCCGTCAGAAGGACCGTGGAGAGAAGTACTGAAAGCGGGCACTCAGTGAACGCATCTGGGAGGCTGGCACGCGGGCAGAGCGAGGGGCAACAGCAGCCTCGGTGTGTGCTGAGGGAGAGGCAGGGAGGCGGGCCTGGGGAGGCTCCGGCCACAGCGCTGCCAGGCTGCCCCAGAGGCAGAGGCAGAACGAGAAACTGGGAGCCTGTGTTCAGCAGACCTGCCAACACCCACAGCCCAGATTTTTGCAAACATGGCAGGAGGGCAAAGGTTTCCGCCTCTGGAAAAACGGACAGTCTGCAAGAAGGCTGCTCTGTGCCGGCACCAGGAGGCCCCAGCACGACAGCCAGCTCCTGGCGGGGGACCTTGCGGCAAAGCCTACGAGCTGGCCCGCCCCACCCGCTCATCAAGGCCTGGGTGGTGGACGTGGGCTCTCCTCCTGGAGAGCACACCAGACCTGCCTACCCTCAGAAACCTCTGCAGGAACTTCCGGGAGCTGTTGATGTCGATGCTGGAGATGTGGCCATACCCCCCGAGCATGCCGTCCACGGTGGCCGGGACCTCCTTCCAATACGTCTTGGCCTTGGAGTAGAACTGTTTCTCGTCCTCGATCACCTCGCTCGTCATGCTGTCAGCAGCCGCGTCTCTGCTCAGGCACCAAACTCGGCGGCGGTGGCTCCTGAGAAGGAAAGGGACGTGGGTGAGGCAGCCAGGTTTCGGGCCCTGGTCTCCTGGCACGGCTGCTGCTGGTCACATGATCCTGTCTGATACCAAGGGGCGCCCCCAACCCCCGCCCACTCCTACCCCTTGGAGGGCAGTGCCTCCTGACTCTTGCATTCGAGTCATTTCGCAAAGCTATCTTCATGTTAGAGCAGGAGACCCGGCATCCCGGCTTCTCCATCCTTCCTCTCCCGACAGGACACCAGACCTGGTGGCTTCTGACCCCAGGGTAGACAGGATCCTGATCTACACTTAAAGGAGAGCAAAGCACGGAACTGAAGCCTCCTCTCTGGAACCCCGAGGACCCCGCCTCCCAGCTTCGGTCACGAGCACATGGACAGGCTCACTGTGGGGTGCAGTGCTGTGAACACGGAGACAGGCAGCAGACACACACCATCGTGCGTGTGTGAGGGCCACAGAGAGGCATGGGGCGGGCAGACGATGGGCGCCAGGGGATGTGACACAGCAGCCGACAGCAGGGAGGACGCGTTCGCGCAGCAACTGGAAGATGTGAGGGCGAGGGGCTCTTCCAGGGGAAACCCGGGGTCCTCTAGGTCACGGTTACCAACTCAGCCTTCACCCCGAAGGGCAGCAAGCTGCCACTACTCTGGGTTAAGCAGGAAGTGGCCTGAGACGTGAGATTCCGGAAGGCAATGTTGGCAGCTGAGTGGACTCCGGGGTGAGAGGACGGGCAGACAGCCAGGCCCCCGCAGCAGGACGGAGGCCCCCAGCGCCCCACACCTGCCAGCTGGTGCGCCACGCGGGGCAGGGAGGGGCACACCTCTCCCCAGGACAACACTGGTCTACAGATGCTCTCTGTGCACAGGGCTGGTCCAGATAAAGCCCGATCCCCGAATGGAACCAATGCAAACACCAGGCAGAAACGAGGCCTCTCGCTGAGACAGAAAGGAGGCATGAAGGAGTCCCTTCCGAATGGCAGACGGGGCAGCGGCTGAGAGAAGGCAAACCCTGAGGACAAGGAACACTCCAGATGGGGACAGGGACAGAGTGGAGATGGCGTGGCATGCATGCCACACAGAGGGCTGGCCTGGCTGGCTGCCGTGTGTCACTAACGGGGAAGCGATCGGCTGAGTTTCTGAAGGGTGAGTGTGTGCAGGCACCCAGCGTGGGAAGGCAGGGCCAGGTCAGGGTCCCCAGGAGCCCCGTGCAGAGGAGGGGGTGGACGCACACGTGAGCATCCTGCCCGAGGTCAGGAGGCTCGCGCACCTGCCACGCCCTAGGCCTCCCCACGTGGGCAGCTCATTTCCATCACCACGTGTCAGCCTGAGTGTCAGCTCCTCCCAGAGGCCTGCCCTGACCTGCCGGAGGCGCCTCCCTCCCACACCCTTATCCACTGCCCACGGCTGCTGCCTTCAGAGTGTGTGTTTCTTTCTGAAATGAGCTGTTTACTGACTGCCTGGCCTCCAGGAACGGAAGCCCCCAGGCAGGGCCTTTTCACCACTGCGTCCCAGCACCGAGCCCACAGGGGTCACTGGGTGCAGAGGTGATGCCCCCCAGGCCTATAGGAAAGCTGTGTGCTTCTGTGCTCCGGGGGCTTCACTCCGCCCGCTTTACAGAACTCCACGGGGCTGTAGTTAAGCCCACCCCGCCCCTCCGGTACAGTCCTGCAAAAGAGGTGAGAACCCCCGAAGACCGAGGAATGCTTTGAGAAGTAATGGGAAAGTGCCCGAGGACAGCACGGGCCTCCAGGACGCAGTCTGGAGACTAGGAGGAGAGAAGGGAAACAAAACATGAGGCGCGCTGAAGATTTTTCACTCCTGTGTCTGTCGCCAGCCTCCAACCCACACCTGGATTCTGAACTTGTCCCAGAAGGAACCTTCCAGAAGCAGCAGGCGTACCCCACCCAAACAACTCAGTGACACAGCCCTTTCCGGAGACCCCACCGGTGAGTGGGGTCACCAGAGAGAGCCCGGCCTGGCGGGTGAGAGTTGCTGGGCAGGGGGCCGCCTCCTCCACGGATCCCAGCTTTCTCAGGGGCCAGGTCACACACTGGCCTTCCGAGGAACAGATGAGGGCCAACAGATCCACGTGTCCGACCCGGGTCGGCTAAGGTTTCCACCCTTGGAGGCCCCTTCCACTGTGCCCCCAGAGACCCTTGCTCCAGCCCTTCTGCGGACTCCTGAATCAACTCTAGGACCGATCTCCCCGGGCAGCTGCGGGGCTTGGGACTCCAGTGACGATGGCTCCAGTTACTGCACCAACCCAAGAGCCCTCTGGGGTAACAGGCTGGGGGGCCTGGGCTCCAAATACTGCCCCCCACCCCAATCATGGCGGTGTCCCACACCTGTGTCCCGACCCCTGCAGCGACCACTCCCCAGTCAGGAGGAGGACGTGGCATGCTGCTTGTGAGGATGGACTCTGTCCCTCTAGCCTTTAGGGACACGCACAGCAAAGACACAGAGGCCTGCCTGTCCCCAAGCGTGCGAGCTGCGGCAGAGTGGCCATCCCTGAGGCTCCCTGACAGCTAACAGGAGAGTGGGCCACCAGCTCGAATGTCACTGTGTAACCTGACTGGGTTTGGGGGTGGCTTAGGTGGGCAGGGTCGGCAAGGCCAAGTGGACGCCCTGGCCAACAGAGGCCACAGCAACCCTGTCACAGCGTCCCACCCGCCCCCAGCCACCACCCCGGAAGGGGAGTGCCAAAGCCCGCTCTTCCACACCACGCAGCAATGCTCCCCCTCAGACAAACTTCCGGTACTTTGACCCTGTCCCCCTCAGACAAACCTCTGGTTCCGTGTTTGAGTCCCTCTCACCACTGGACTGGGAACAGCCTGAGAAAGCAGTGGCGACACCCTGAGATGCCTCCCTGTGTTTCTCTTGCATTCCACATAGCTCATAGGTAGTCAACAAAATTCCCTGCCTATCAAAGGAACAGAATAATTGTGGGCCAGACGCCCCGGGGCTCTACTCTCTCCCTCTGCCTGTTGTCTGCCTTCCCCCCCAGCAGACACGGCTCCTGGGCGCAGGGACACTGCCTGACACACCATTAGCCTCAGACCTGATACACGGTGGCAGTATGCTAACTGGTTGCTGAAGGAATCAAAGAAGGACCTTTGTGCGGCTACAGCCATTCTGTACTTCTTCAGAAAATCCTACAAAGATGTAACCATTCCAATCTGATAACACTGAAGCCCTTTACTGACAGTATAATTTTTTGCTTTACCAAAAGCCACACAACACAATTCCTTTAAATGTCAAGGTCCCCTGAATACTCTCATTGACAAGAATTCCACTTACAGGCAGAGTCTGGGAATAAGCCAGGGAGGCACATCCAGGCTGGGAAGTGGTAAGGGTAACTCTGACATTTGTTCTAACAGCTTGGATTCATTAGTAAACATGCCTCCTGGGCTCTGTCTACCCTGGACCTCCTGGCATCCAGACGGGGTGGGCAGGAGGTCCCTAGGAGTCAGAGGGGACAGCAGGGTTATCGATCAAACTGCAAGAAAGTCCTACACTCGGTCCAGATCACAGGAAGGAGTCACATGGCTGCAGGGGTGGGAAGGGGCCTGGGCACAGTCTGGCTTTGTGAGTGCTCTAAACGAGCTCAGAGGAGAAAAGAAACCCTTGGCTCGTTAGGGAACTTCTGGTTCTCAGAGAGTGCAATGTGTCTGGGCATCCTTCATGGTCATCCCCCCCACCCCACGGTGTGTAGGGTGACCCTGGGCAGCCGTCCCAGCAACCACTCTTCTTCCAGGATCTGTGACAAAGAATGGTGTCTAAACTGTCATCGCCTGTAAGTGGAATTCTTGTAAATGAGATTATTCAGGGGACCTTGACACTTAAAAGGAATCATGTCATAAGGAAGGGAACAAGGAAGACGCAAAAAAGAGGGGAGGGGATTAAACTCTTGATGGTGAATGAACCAGGTCTGAATGCTGGCTCTGCCTCTCCCTGGCTGTGTAAGCTCAGATAAGACACAACCTCAGTTAAGTAGGTGTCTTTATCTATAAAACTGGAACAATATTGACTTTACAGGAGGGCTGTGATGATTAAACGTGGATATAAAAGTGAAAAGTGATCCAGACACTGCTGGGCACATATTAATCTGAAAAAAAAAAAAAAAAAAAAACCCACAAAAAACCTCTGTCCAGTGAGATGCTCATCAATTCTCTCTGCTAAGTGTGAAGATCTAATGAGAAATTGTGCTGAAAGGCCCTATAAACCGTGGTGTGCTGTCACACCTAAGGGATTACTTCTGCTACTGCAGGGTGGTCAAGCCAGTCGCTCAAATGGCTCTGCCAATGGCAGCAGAGGGGAGCAAGCCTCTGACCACGTAGGCACAGAAACCCCCAAGGTTTTGGGGACTCTAGGGCTTCTGGTCGCCACCAAAGCATGCCACATGTATTTACTTCCAACCCTCCCACAGTCCCTGGTACACACAGAGAGAAAAACCATCCACTAAGATGAAGCGATGCACACACACAGGAAACCAGAAACAGAACAAGGACAGAATCCAGACTTCTGACCCCGCTCAAGGTCCCCTTTCGCCCAGAGGCTCAGGCCATCTCACTGAGCAGACTCTATACATCCAGACCACGTGCAGTACAGCCCGGCCCCACCGGCAGGGCCTCTGACACCAGCTGTTTCTAACCCTTGTCGCACAGACACACCAAGATCCAGAGAGAGTCGCAGCTGACGGGGCAGCAGGGCCTGGGCCTTCAGATTTATGGCAGCCTCTCTGCCAACAGGCTGACCTTGGCTCCAAGGGCTCAGGGGGCCGGCGGGCTGTCTTTAGAAATAGCACCTCTGTTGAGCCGTCACTGGGGTCGGGTCCAAGGTGAAATATGAGAGCGACGCCTGTGTAACGAGCACGATACCCTGTGCCCGACTGTGAGCCGAGCGCTCTTCCTGAATCCTCACACCCACCCTCCTTTGCGGGCGCGCGCCTTACCCGTCTGGCACAGGGGAAACTGAGGTTCAGACAGGGAAAGGAACTGGCGGGCGGCGGGGTTTGGCGTGGGGGCCGTTCCCTGATCAGGCTTGCGGGGTCTCAGCCTTCCTCCAGCCTGGGCCCCCGGGGGCCCAGGGCCGGCCGGCGGACCTTCCACGAGCGCGCACGTGGGGCCTAGCCCGCTCGCGCTCGGGTCACGTGAGGAGCCGGGGAGGCCTCACCGCACCGAGGCGGTTGGGGTCCGAGGCCTCCCCTCTCCAGGCGGCCGCTGTCTCCGCCCCCCACCCCGCTCCACCTCGCGCTACTCACCGCGGGTGGAGGCTCCTGGGACAAGGGAGAAGAGGACGAGGAAGCGGAAAAGAGGGCGGCGGAGGCGGCGGCGGCAACAGCGAAGACCCCCACCTGACTACGACCAGCTCCGTCCAACCTTGGCTGGAAGCGACACCTCGCGGCGCGCGCCCCCTTTGTCCACTCACGTCACTTCCGGGCTTCTGGGGGCGGGGCCGCTCCGGGCTCCGCCCCCGCGCGACTTGTCCCCGCCCCCCTGCCCCCTTGGGCTCCTGCCCTAACTCGAGAACTTCCCTGCCTTTACAGAGCTGTAGCGCAGCGCTTATCCCGCCTCTGGCTTGTGCACCAGCTCATTTGGAGGCGGCTTAAAAAGAGCCTTTTGTGGGTCTTCCCCTGGGTTGCAAAAAAAGAGGCGGGTGGGGGGGGAGAGCCTTATTCAAGCCTTAACTCTACCCATAACAATTAACATCCTTAAAATATACAGATCCAAAAAAATAAATAGGTAAAGAAAAAAACATCCTTGACAGTGCCAAGGGGTTGCCACTCCAAATAAGCAGAACATGTCCATAAAGTTTCAATTTTGAAAGGTTGCCCTCTCCTAGGTTCCTCCCATACACAAATTCTGAATTGGTCCCTGAAGCAGCCGAGATGAACATGTGAATTTGCAGGTAGAAGACCTTGTGAACCTCTCCAAGCCTCAGTCTACTTCTGCCAGATGCACAGAATAATTAGTCATTTTTCAATGCTTGGAGGGTTAATCTGTGGGATATTGTGAGTTGAACCTTCAGCCCTGTGTTTGGAGCTGGCTGTCAGTAAATAGAAACTGATTCATAATATTTGTCACAATATTCATGTATAGCATAATATTCACAATATTTATCATAAATTCTTTCTTCCTAAACTAACATCCTGGCTTAGATTTACAGTGCCTCCTGGACACTGCACACAGGAGGTTCTTAAAGTGTGTTTGCTCTAATGAAGTGAAAGCTATGTTGGGGAAGTGGGGTGCCCTGAAAAGCCCCACCTGCTTTTTTTTTTTTTTTTTTTGGCTGAGCTGGGTCTTAGTTGCAGCATGTGGGCTCTTAGTTGTTGCATTTGGGATCTAGTTCCCTGACCAGGGATTGAAACTGGGTCCCCTGCATTGGGAGTACAGAGTCTTAGCCACTGGACCACCAGGGAAGTCCCCTGACCTGCTATTGAGTCCCCAGTTCTGTTCATATTATGTAGCATCCTCCCTTCAGTTCAGTTCAGTTCAGTCACTCAGTCATGTCCGACTCTTTGCCACCCCAAGGACTGCAGCATGCCAGGCCTCCCTGTCCATCACCAACTCCCAGAGTTTACTCAAACTCATGTCCATTGAGTCAGTGATGCCATCCAACCACCTCATCCTCTGTTGCCCCCTTCTCCTCCTGCCTTCAATCTTTCCCAGCATCAAGGTCTTTTCCAATGAGTCAGCTCTTCACATCAGGTGGCCAGAGTATTGGGGTTTCAGCTTCAGCATCAGTCCTTCCAATGAATATTCAGGACTGATTTCCTTTAGGATGGACTGGTTGGATCTCCTTGCAGTCCAAGGGACTCTCAAGAGTCTTCTCCAACACCATAGTTCAAAAGCATCAGTTCTTCAGCACTCAACTTTCTTTATAGTCCAGCTCTCACATCCATACATGACTCCCTAGGGCACTCCAGTTAAGGCTTGGTTCCCTGGCCTGGGGCCCGTCTCCCAAGCTTCATTTTCCACACCTCTACGGCAAGAGGATAAATCTTGGGCAGCCTCAATCAGGAAATTTCTATAATCTTTGTGGGTGTGGCTCTGAGTCTAGATCTTTTAGGGGTGCCTAAAAATTCACCTCTACCTTTTTTTTTTCTTGTCCATGGAAGACAAAGTCCCTTCCTTGCATCTGGACTCCAAGACTTTTCCAGGTCTGGCTGGGCCGCTGACCTCCAAAGTCTCTCGAGTCACTGAATTCCCAAGGCTTGCACATGGTAGATACTCAATAAATGTCCGCAGCATGTATGGGCCAGACGCTTCCTTAGAAATCATCTAGGTAGTCTGGTGTTCTTCATTCATTTTCTAAAAATTTACACACCCTTAGAATAAATAGAAAAAATTTCTCATCCTCCCCACTCAATATTCTAACTTCCCAAGGAAAGATGCTCTTCCATCCCTGGTTGAGGAGTCTTTGCAGAAATACATTACATTGGGATTTCCCTGGTGGCCCAGGGGTTAGGAATCTGCCTGGCAGTGCAGGGGACATGGGTTCAATCCCTGGTGGGGGAACTAAGATCCCACATGCTGAGGAGAAAAATGAGTCGGCGTGCCCCAGTTGGAGGGTCCATACGTCACAACAAGTCACAACAAAAGATTGTACATCACAACAAGAGATCTCGCTTGAGGCAATGGAGAGTCTGCATGCCACAACCAAGACCTAACACAGCCAAATAAATAACTAATTTAAAAAAAGAAAAGAAATCCATTACATTATCTGGGATGCCTCCTCCAGGCAGACATCTTATAATGTGAATTCAAAGTCATCTTTTTTTCCATTTTCAAATTGTAAAATCCTACCAGGCCAGTGAAATCACTGCCCAAACTACCCTTGTTCCTCACTCAAGTTTTAGTACAAGCTTCCTCCCTGCCCCCTTCCAACCGAGAGTCACAGATGGAGCCCAACTGTCCATATTATCATGGAGCCCTGAGAAAGGAGAGACTTAACCTGCATCACACAGCGTGCAGAAGCAGAGCGCAGGCTCAAAGCTGGTTCTCGCAGCTTCCAGGCCCACCGCATTCTTACTGCCCAGACTTCCAAGTTCTAACTCCAGAGCCACCCCAGCCCAAACCTGACCCACTTGAGCCTCCCAGGTCCAGAGGGGGTAACTGAACCCGCCAGCCATTCATCCCTGCCTCGGGCCTGGTTGCCCTGACGGGGAGCCCCATGCCCGTTTGTGACTGCGGCCTTGACATCCTGAGCATGACAGACCCGCCCTCTGCCCTCCACCACACGCAGCCTCAGCGTCCACTTGGCCCTGAGTGCCAGGCAGGTCACAGTCACTCTGGAAAGGCATGGAGGCGGCAGGGAGGGGCCAGCAGAGGTACCAGGCCGGGAAGATGGGCTCCCCCAAGGACCAGCCCACCTGCTAGGGGGCTCTAAACTCAGGGGGCCGTCTCTGGCCCCACCCCCAAGGCCCTCCTAGGGTGAGTGTGACACTAGCAGTTGGTCGGTGCACGTGTGCGTGGGTGCACGCTTAGTCGTGTCTGACTCTCTGCGACCCCATGGACTGCAGCCCGCCAGGCTCCTCTGTCCAGGGGATTCTCCTTGCAAGAATACTGGAGTGGGTTGCTGTGTCCTCCTCCAGGGGGTCTTCCCGATCCAGGGATTGAGCCTGAGTCTCCGGCTTGGCAGGCAGATTCTTTACCACGGTGCCACCTGGGAAGCCGGTTCAGAGCTGTCAGCAATCTGGGGAGTGGGGTGTGGTAGGGAGCAAGCAGGCTCAGATCCCAGTGTCAGAAGCTGGGGTTCAAAGGGGAATTTTGTTAAAAATAAGTGTCTTGACCTGGCCCCAGACCCAGTGAATCGGAATCTGAGGCATCTGTATTTTCAAGAAGCTCCCACTCAAGGGACTCTGGGGCTCCAGTAGGAATGGGCAACTGCAGGGCAAGCCACCCCTTTAAGCTGGTTCCAGCTTTCCCAGTTTCCACCTGAGGGCTATTAACAGTAGAACAAGTTGAACACTCCAGGTGTTAAGTGCTTTCCACATGGCGCGGTTTCATTCTCACAAAGGAGCAGGCCCTGGGTTACCCCATTCTACAGATGGGGGCACTGAGAGCAATTAACTGGCTTGCGCAAGGGCACAGCTAGTAAGTAATGGCAGTGAACGCGCTCAGTCCTGTCCAACTCTTTATGGACCCCATGGACTGTAGAGCCCGCCAGACTCCTCTGGCCATGGACTTCTCCAGGCAAGAATACGGGAGTGGGTAGCCATGCCCTCCTCCAGGGGATCTTCCCAACCCAGGGATGGAACCGAGGTCTCCCCCATTGCAGGGGGATTCTTGACTGTCTGAGCCACCGGGAAGCCCCAGTAAGTAATGGAGCTGAGACTAAATTCTAAATAATAATTTTAAATAATAATAGCAGTGAGGCTTTGTTAAGCACGTACAACGTGCCTGGCATTATTCTAAGCCATTTACATCTGCTGGCTCATTTAAACGTCACAGCAACTTGAGAAGGTGGGTACTGTTACCGTCACCGTTTCTTCAGGTGAGGAAACAGAGGATCGGGGCGCTCTAGCCTGAAGCCACTTTTACTGTCTGGCGGGCCAGTGGTGGTACCCCCCGAAGCACACTGCCGCGCTCTGGGCGCTATGGCCTGGGGGGGGCTGGTCTACGCCCTTCTGTCCACTTCCCACGGCACCCCCCCTCCGCCCCCCACAGGCGTGAGGATGCCCTGAGCTGAGCGCAGGGCCAGGCATGACCCGGCGTCGCCCCAGCTTCTGGGCCCAGCAGGTGGCGCCCGAGGGGCTCCCCGGCGGTGGCGATCGCCGGCGCAGAAACCCGCGGCTGCCCAGGCTGCTGCCGCCCGAGCTCCGAGCAGCCTCGGGCACGGGGGCCTTCGGGGGCTTGAGGGCCTCGGAGAGCGGCGCCGAGTGGTGGCAGGACCCCGCCTGTGAGTCCTTGTACTCCGATCCCGGGCTGGGCTTCAGGAGCTCCCGGTCCCGCCTGCCGGTCCTGCCCACCGTGGCCCAGCGGCCGGCGAGGAGCCGGACAGGGTTGAGGTCGCTGCTGCTGCCGCCCCTGCTCTTGGCCGGCGAGCCCCCCGAATCGGCGCCCGCATGCCCCGAGCTCGGAGAGCGCGAGGACCCTCGCAGGGGCTCAGCCAAGGAGACCTCCGATTCCTTGGGCTCCCTCCTAGAAGTTCTCCCGGGCCGGTTCCGGCAGTTCCTGCGACAGTTCAGGGTTGAGTCTGCGGAACGGCTCCTCCCACCGAGTGAGGCCCCTACGGCCCCCAGGGGGCGGGGCAATGCGGGGCTGCGTCATTTCCGGTGGTGGGGGTGGTCGGAGTGGGGGTGGTCGGGGTGGGGGTCACAGCACCTGGCATAGAAGGATGCTTGTATTAGTGAAGTAGGGCTGGAAGAATCCTGACAACCACCGCTTGAGGGCGGTTCTGCCATTGTACAGATGAATAAACAGGCCCAAGGCCATGCAACCAGGAACACCCTAATAGAGACTGGCCCCAAGCGAAGGCTCATAACTCTTTCTACTTCATCCTGCCCCCCCACCCACTCCAGCACCCTCAGCATCTCAACATCAAAGGCATCCTACGTCAGAGATCAACGGAAGTCCTCCTCGGTGTTCCAGCTCCCACTTCCTCCCAGTCCTTGGGTAAGTGTCAGTGACCTCTTCGTGGGGACAGGGTTGTCATCAACGCTCTGACCATGGGGGACCCTGATCACTCATATCAGGTATGGCCTATTTGTTTTCAAGGGGCCAGTCATCCTACCTCAAGAATAGCCTTAAGAAGATTTTGCTTCATCAGACACCTGTCCTGGGGCCCTTGAGTAGAGATTACCAGCAGTTCACCACGGTCAAGGCCAATCAGTGAGTTGCAGGAGGATGGGGGAAAGGGGGTGGGGAGAAAGAACATTTCTTTCCTTACTATGTCTTTTCAGAATTTATACATCTGTCCACCTGTTCATCCATCTATATGTCCATCCATGAATCAGGTCTTCTCCCAACCTGTTTAAGGATCATCCATCAACATCTATGAATCCATCCACCCATCCATTAATCAGGTCTTTTACCCACACATTCATAATTCATTGATGAATCCATTCATATATTCATTCTCCTATTCACCCATCCACCATTGCACACATCTGTGAACCAGGTCTTTTACAATCTATTCATGAATCTCTCCATCCATCCATCCACTCATGAATCAGGTCTCCTGTTGATTCATTAATCCATCTCTCCAGCCAGCCAGCCAGCCAGCCAGCCAGCCAGCCAGTCATCCAGCTACTCACAAACTCCCACAATTCTATCCACCTATCCAAGAATTCAATGATTGATCATCTACCAATCCTTCCATCCACTTGTAAATCCAGGATACTGTCCATCAAAAACTAATCTAATTATGAAGCCAATCTACATACCAGTCTACATAATCATTCATCCATTTATGCATCCATACATCTACCTATCCTCCTAAGATCCAAACCTTCTATTAAGACCTTTTTGGGAATTCCCTGGCAGTCCAGTGGTTAGGACTCAATGCTTTCACTTCTGTGGCCTGGATTCTACCCCTGGTTGGGGAACTAAGGTCCTGCAAGCCAAGTGGTGTGCCAATTAAAAAAGACCTTTTCACTAATTCATCCATCAGTCCATCCACCCACCCACCCACCAACCCATTCTTTCACCCACCCTGCCATTCATTCATCCATCTCTTCCTCTTACTTTGATTCTCCATGTCAATGGAGAAAGTGAAGTCGCTCAGTTGTGTCTGACTCTTTGCGACCCCGTGGACTGTAGCCCACCAGACTCCTCCGTCCATGGGATTCTCCAGGCAAGAATACTGGAATGGATTGCCATTTCCTTCTCCAGGGGATCTTCCCGACCCAGGGGTTGAACCCAGGTCTCCTGCATTGCAGGCAGACACTTTAACCTCTGAGCCACCAGGGAAGACCCAGGGAAGCAGCCACCAGGGAAGAAGTCAGTGGAGAAGGAAATGGCAACCCACTCCAGTATTCTTGCCTGGAAAGTTCCACGGACAGAGGAGCCTGGTGGGCTACTGTCCATGGGGTCGCAGAGAGCCGGCCATGACTGAGCGACTGAGCACAGCACGTATGTCAAATATTGGGAGAAACAGAATAAGGAATGGAAGTCGGAAGAGCCTGGGCACTAGAACCTAGCTGGACCTGGATGCAGTAGCTCTAAGGGAGGGAGAAAATAATGCAGAAGTAGTTCCTCCTGCTTAACCCTGGACGAAAGGTGAAGAGCATCGTCCTTGAGTTTAAAGACCAGGGACAGTACATACACTAGACATGCCATTCCTTCTCACCCTGGACCCATGGCAGACATTACTAATTGAGCACAGCACTTCTCCCCCGACTGAGCCTCAGAACCTTTCTTGACTCAGTGCTCCAGGAAGACACCGCCTATGGATGCACATCACTGTTGTGTAACTAGGTCCCAGTGCATGTAGCCAACACCGTCTTGGTCATCTCCTGGCTGCCTGGCTCTTTAAGGGACTCATGAAAAGTGTCCTCTCTGTTCACATGGACATAAAGATGTGGTCAGATAAATGGAGACAGGTATATCCATAGGCATGTACTTAAGATCGAACATGGCATTTCTGAATAACAGAGCCATCAATGAATCAAGCACACCGTCCTGCAGCCTTGCTCTGGAGGCTGAAATGAATAACAATAAATGTAATAATCACAGATCCCCTTTACTGAGCCACGGCCCCTGGCCAGGCTCCATACTAGATGATTCACATTTTATCTAATGCTCACCAAACTCTTAGAGCACTTCTAGGGGATGTTAGTGTAAAGAAGCCGCCTATCAATGCAGGTTAAATAAAAGAGATGCAAGTTTGATCCTTGGGTCAGGAAGACCCCCTGGAGCAGGGCACAGCAACCCACTCCAGTATTCTTGCCGGGAGAATCCCATGGACAGAGGAGCCTGGCGGGCTACAGTTCATAGGGTCACAAAAGTTGGATACAACTGAAGCAACTTAACATGCACTCAAACTCTTACAGGGCTTCCCAGGTGACGCTAGTGGTAAAGAACCCGCCTGCCAGTCAGGAAGATCCCCTGGAGGAGGGCATGGCAATTTACTCCAGTATTCTTGCCTGGAGACTCCCATGGACAGAGGAGCCTGGTGGACTATATTTCATAGGGTCGCAAAGGAGTCTGACACGACTGAAGAGACTTAGCATGCACTCATGC